CCTGTGCTTCTGTAGACAGGTCTTTGAAGAATACACCTAAACGTATTCAGTGATTCCAAAGCTGCTCAATCCATTAGGCAGGTTCTAGTGTAAATCAACAGCAAGTCATGGATCAGGCCCTATATTTCAAGTTGATCAGATTTAAAGAGCAACTGCAGTGGTGGTGAGAAAATGGGGAATACAGTTTTAAAAAACTCACGTGGTATCTAATAGGTTGTATATGTGAAGTGGCACTGTGAGTTCTGAATAAATAGTTATAATGTGATAGAAACACGGACCAATTCTGCGGGTTTTTCGAAAACTGTCCACGTTTGTACCATTGATGGCGCCATGCAGCAAACATCATGACCTCGCAGGACCTGGTTTTGTGGATATGTTTTTGTACAAAGGCCTGCACGCCTGAGCTGCCAGCCTAGCCTGACACTTTTTCAGAATAAAATAACAACATAAAAACATTGAAAACGTCTGTCCTTCACTCTGAACTTACCAGGCCATATTTATCAAATGATCTTGGTCTCTTTCACCACCTCGTTCAACAGCAGTGGCCCCATTGTCAACCTGATCAGGATCCCATTGGTGCTCCGGGGGCATGATGGGTTCAACGTCTTGTACTTGGGACAATGTATGTATAACTCTAACTACACACGTGTTACTATACTGCATGTCATTATGTGCATTGACATGACCGTGCCCGCTCAGTATGTACATGCACCAGCCAGAGAACCGTTTCCTCGGTGCTATGTCAAAAAAATCCAGGAAAAGCCGTATTCATGAGATGTGAATGAAGCGATGAAGACACCCTCCTTTCACGAAAGCTAGCCATGGTGGTCTCAAAAGTGAGTTTTTTAAATCAACTAAAATTGCTGAATCCACATTTATGTGACATACATGTAGATGTCTATAATGGGACCCAACTAAACAAACTACATCCAGATTTCTTATTTTCTTCCACCATTGGGTTGCTTTGTCATAAACTACCAAAGTTGATTGATCGATCAAAGAAACACTCGTACACATTCTATGGAAGAAAGTTGCAAAGACACAAAAATGAGCCAAAACTAGAGATTTTTTTATCCATTTTAACAGAGCACAGGGCTTTTCTGCATTTTGTTTTGAGGAAAAATATACTTATTCATATTAAATAGGTATGTGTATAGGTATGTGTATGTGTATATTTGAATACTGCAAAATATTAAACTTGCAAACATACTACAGAGCAAATATTAGGAATTTCAAATATTAAAACAGAATCTTCCCCTCTCTGGAGTGGCTATACATTTGACCCGCATTGGGCAGCAACTGAGCATACATGTACATGGAGGTCTGAGAGCCTGTGCGTTAATCACTAGACCAACACCTGACTTAGATTTACCAAAGTGCATTACACCTGATTTTCCTTAATGTTTGACAATGACAAAATCTTGACTGAATATATATGTAAATGCAAGCTTACTTTCACTGCCGCAAGGTCCCTGTCTAGTGCAGTGCCAAAGCATTTAACAAAGCCTGTGGGTATACAGATATAGCTTTGCAGCCATTAGTGATAGCTGGTAGTTAGGTTTTCCCATTACCATCGTCATGTACTGGTTTGAACAATAAGAAAAGTTATACTGGTCAGGATTAATTTTCAAGCACTGTTTGAAAAAATAAAAGTTCTTGTCATTGCAACTTTTGGTTTGGTGACATCAGCCTAGAGTTTTTAATATGTTGGAAAGCACATCATTTATCAACCAATTCTAAAGCAATTACTCATACTTTGTATCAGACATCAACTCAAAATACATTTTCGAACTTTTTCACACATTTCATGATGTCACCAGTCCAGGTTTTGGAGAATACTACTGAATGAAAACTAACATTATTGAAATCAATTCATAGCAGTTTGAATGATGAGGCACTTGTGGTTTCAACTGGAATCAAGGATCACTTTTGCTGCAAAAAGCAATTTGTAGGAACTAAAGGTTTTATAACGATTAAAATTATCAAACTTTAAATTTTTGTAAGTTGACTCTGATAACATCATCATGAGGTCACTCTCTGAAGACACAGGTCCCAATAGGGTTTTACTTATGTCAAGTTGTACTGCAATTTGCATTTACTTTCACTTAAATGTTGAGGGTTGAATAAAATGTATACAAAGTACATATGTATATGGACTTGGGGGCACAAAAAGAAAAAATAACAAGAACCATGATTGTGTACAAACACCAGCCGTTTTGGCAATGGTTTGTGTAAATGTATGACACCTGCCTGTGTAAGCACTTACCAGGTCCCACTAAATCAGAGCTGTACTTAGGAAGATGTAATGCCCCAAAGTTTGGATTATTAATGCAATGTCATGTGACCTATGATGACACAGTCGCAGTGACAATTTTGTCCGGACACCCTCTCGCATCGATGGACTAAATATGCACTTAATATGAAGTCAGTCAGATGGATGAGTGACCGAATCTTTAACATTAGAAAAAACGTAAAAACGCATAAAACCTAGGGAGAAAAACTGCACCTTTAAATTCTTGTCACATGATCTGCGTTTGACTCAAAAGATTTTTACAAAATGGTACTATTATATAATATATTTGTATATTTGTAAGATAAAAAAGGAATGTTTAGTCTGATTTCTCTTTTGTTCTCATAGTAATCCCTGGCCGAAGTTGAGAGCCCCTCCATTTGTAAGATGGATAGCAAAGCCTAATAGAAAAACATGTACAAAGCCTAGAGACAAGAACTGCAACTTTAATTTGATCCCCGATAACGTCATTATGACAATTTTGTTCTAGACCCCTCTCTACCAAGTGGATTATGCAATGGCATTAGTATGAAAGTCAGTCAGGTAGAGAAGCATGTCAAAATCTGTCTGTTTAAAACATGTACAATACCTTTAAGTTCTTGTCACGTGATTTGCATTTGAATTGAAAGTTGTTAACAAAACAGTAATTGGTAATTTGCTTCTTGGGTATATATTTTTAAGTGAACGAAAAACAAAAACCCAAATTTCTTTTGTTCTCATAGTGATCCTCGGCCAAAGTTGAGAACCCCACAGTCACTAAGAACGATAAAGAGTAGTAGAAAAACGTGTACAAATGCTATGGAGACAAAAATGCAAATTTAATCTCATGTCAGGTGACCCCTGATGATGTAATAATGACAGTTGTTTTCTGGGACCCTCCCAACTCCATGGACTAAAAGTGTGCACCAACATAAAGTCAGTCAGATCACTGAGAGGGTAGAAATCTGGCTGCTGAAAAATGTGTACAAAACCCATGGGAGAAAAATTATATATACGTAATATTTATCGCATATGCAAAAAATTAAATGTTAAAAAATCAATAAAAAATCATGTGGTGATTGTATCCTTGGACGATTTTCGCAAGGTCTGCTAAGTTTGAAGTCACTTAGATTCATTAAACTACCAAACTTGACTAGTGGAAAGAAATGTGTACAAACCCAACTATTGAAGAGGCTGAATAAGGTGAACAAGAAAAAGAAACAAGAGCTTTCTGTGTGTTTGTAACATGTGGAAGGCTCACCCGCTCTTTTTGACTCAAAATTAGTAAAATATCTACACTAAATCAATTGATGATTTAATAGCTGTGACACAAAAGTTGTTATGTAAACCAAACCTTTCAAAACGAAGGCCTAAATTTATGCTATTACTTGATGTAAGGGGCAAAAAGAGCAATGTCATTCAACAGATTTTATCTGATTGAATAAGCACTTCAGAAGAAACAGTACTTTTTCTGGCATGCAATGGGCCGGATTCATATCCGGGTCTGTATGACCACTACCCTTCTTGCGACAGCCATTACACCACATGCTGATTCCTTTCTGTGCCAGGAATCTCCCTCCTAATTACCAGAAATATGTAAATGGGCCTGTCACATATGCAATTCCTGGCATCAAGACTTTGAAGGTGAAGTTTCTTGCTTATGTACTAAACCATTTTAAAATATTGGCTTGTGTTTTTATGATATTTTGGGGTATTTACAGTTGACCCACCTTTGACTTCCCGGTAACCCTAGAAGTCCAGATGACTTTGCCCCAGTAACAAAAAATGTAAAAGGACTTAAGATTTGTTAAATCCCAAACTATGAACATTATTTCTTCAGAAGTTGACAAGGTGCAGTCACAAAATGTTGGTCTTTGTAAGAGCTGAAAATGCCAATAATTTGAAGAATGTCCTCATGATGTTACTTGTATACATGTCTTGAGATCAGGTTTGACGTTCCTGTCACCTTTGAAGCTGGTATGTCATACTGTCTTGAAGAAAAGCCAAAGAGAATTGTTGAACAGAAAAACAAAATCAAAGGAGGAGCAGCAGACAGGTGAACTAAATGAAAAACTAACAGGTGATCAGGTTGAGTAGGATCGTTATCATTAATATTAATAATTTCTTGTAATGATACCAAGAATTCCTCAGGGTGTAGCTTGCAAGTTTGAAGAAACCTACAGAGAAGAAACAACGAGAAGCAGCTACATTTTTAGAGGTGTGAGGAAAGCCCCACAGGAATTCTCTGGGTAAAACCCACAAAAACAGGTAGGGACTGAAAACCCAACCCACATGACGATTGAGCCGGGAATCGAACCCGGGACACAGAGGTGGAAGGCGAGGAATAAACCACTACACCAACCGACTCTCTAGAAAATCAAGGGGAGCAAGGTGACTGGGCTCAGTCTAATAATCAAATTATATATAACACCTTCATTAAGCCACTTCGCCTCTGTCATCTCAGGGACATAATGTACCCGTCCACCATGTTCAGAGATGATCAAATATTTATTATGTGATTTACAAAACTTACATTTATAATGGTGTCAATATGATGTCAACAAATTTTCTAGACAATTTTCCAACCAAGTTGGATTCTAAATAATAGGGTTCAAGAAATATTGAAAAAACCCAAAACTATATCACTCAGTAAATATATTAAGGTTAAAATATGAAAAATAAAACAACTTGCAAAAAAGCCCGAATTTTTAATTTTTAATTAATCCCTTACCTGTTGCAATATTGGCCAGCAAATGTTGAGTGATTTAACACATGTCTGTGTATCATTCCATGACAGTGATGAATAGACGCACACGACCATACTTTTACAGAGAGACTGTTTAGTAAAAATGGAGATAAACAACATGAACTCAATAACTGTAATGGCAGAAAACCTGTCAGTTAAATCCAACAGTTATTTAGAATAAATATACAGCAGTGTGTTTGATCAGTCCTCTTGCACCTACCTGTAGTGTTGTCACACATTTACATAGCCATATGGCAATGAACAAATGATTTTGGTTCAAGTGCCCCAACCAGGCCAAGATAGAAGTCATGCAGAGATTAAATTTGTGACATCAATTCAAACTTTTGGAAGTAATGACCATCCACAAACACACAAGCGCGAGTGCATTTGCCTGCAACTGGGGACCCCCTACTGTTCTTCTTTTGTTTTTACTTTAACTTTTTTAGAAGACCACCTATAAGTTTTGTACAGAATTATCAATTGGGGACCCTCTGTGAATCAGGGCCTTATTGTCCTCTACTGTTCAGGTCCCCAATTGAATGCAAAAATAAAGTCACACCCACCCACCCCCATCCATTCACATTTCTGGCTTTTATAAATCACAGAACTTTATACTTAACTTGAACCAATTTGCATCTACACATACCAATTTTTCACAACTATGTACAATGATATCAACTTTCCTTTGCATCATTTGACTGACTCACAATGATTTCACATTGTATTGTGGGATTTCCCAGGTGACCCAAGTCAGTTTAATACTTGGGCAAGGCTAGAGTAGAGATGATTGTCATATTGTACACAGTTGAAATACATGTAGCACAAGTATGTGCGAGCAAAGTAATTGAAAGTGCTGTAGAAAAGTACATAATTGTAAGGTATGTTTCATATCTTTATGGAGAAGGTACAAGAAAAGAATCAAACTACAATGGCGGCCATTTTCCAAGGGGCGCTCTCCGGCATGTTTTTATTTCAATTATGGAGGGCGGCCTACAACTTATACATGCGCATGCGTCGGCGTAAGTGAGCGTGTTTTTAAGTGGGCTCCGGCCAGACCAGAAATTTATCACGGTTTTCACGTTTTTTTAAGATATTGCTTCGAAAATAAGCTATCCTAGTCTTTCGTGTGGATCTACTGACAAAATGCCTAGGACAACGAGAGCTTCACAGAACAATGAAGAGCAAATTAAGGCCGGAAAGTCCGTCGATTTTTCTCAGGACAACGGAATGCAACATGGCGCCGCCCTTGCATCGCGTGACAGTACACACAATACAACACATTCAACAGGTTCAGTGTCAGATTCAACAGCGGTGCACACTCTGAATCAGCATTGTGACTGCAGCAGTAAATTGGACTCTGTCTTGAAGAAGTTAGAGAAGCTGGACCTACTAGAAGTTTTGGCTACAAGAGTTGATAAGGTAGAGAGAAATATTGACATCCTAAACAAGGACATGGAAGACATGAAGGAAGGAATGAATTTCATGGATGAAGCCGTGGGCGGCAAAGCTAATGGTGAAGAAGTACGAGAGCTAAAAAAGCAAGTGGAAGATCTCTCTAACCGTCTTCTCGGAAACAACCTTGTGTTTCTTCATATTCCAGAAGGAAGTGAGGATGATTATGAATCCTGTACCTCATTCATCAAGAATTTTCTGGTAGATCACATGAAGATTTCAAGTGCTGCCGATATGCAAATGGAGAGGGCTCATAGATCACCGGCTGTTCCAACTAAGGGTAAGGGATTACGTCCAATTCATGTAGCTTTCCTCCGCTACTCTGATAAACAGATGATCTTGAGAGCTGCTCCCAAGATGTTAAAGAACAATTCTTACAAGAATCAGAAGGTCTTCGTGTCAGAGGACTTTACTCCTGAGGTACTGAAGAAGCGACGGGAAATGCTACACTTTAAGAGACTTCTCCAGCAGGAAAACCCAGCTAGGCGAGTGTATTTATCCTACCCTGCTAGACTGAGGATGAAAGATGGAGACAGCTGGAGGATCTTTGATAGAGATGAGGCTGATAGCATGAAGTACTTGTATCAGAACTTTGGCAAGGGCCGGAGCCCATAGGGATTTGCCAAGAGATATTTGTGTTCCTCCAGAAGAACGCTGAGACATTTGTAGAACAATTTGAGTGTGTTTTTTTGTTGTTTTTTTCATGCCTTATTTGCTGTGTGTCTGGTCTCAATGTTCTTGTGAAACTGTTGTGTTATTACCAACTGGATTTTTGATATCATTAGCAACAATATTCAGACCTAAATGTCAGTGTTTTTCCTTTTGTTTTTTTAATGATGCATTTTCTGTGGATGGAAGTGAGAAGATGTTACAGACTGTTCCTTTTTCTGAGGATCTAAATGGTTAAAATGAATATTTGCTCCCTCAATGTTAGAGGGATGAACAATAACCTAAAGCGTAGACAAGTCTATCTTTGGTTAAGAAAGAAACAATTCTCAATATATTTTTTGCAAGAAACCCACAGTGAATTTAATTTGGAGAAAACTTGGTCGAACGAGTGGGGCTATACCAGTTTTTTTAGCCACGATAAATCTAACAAGGCAGGTGTTGCTATTCTGTTTAAGAATGACTTGGAAATTTCTGTTAAAAAATATCTGAATTGATTTTTCTGGTAGATTCAACATAATTGATATTGAGGTTGACGGTGATGTGTTCACTTTAGTTAATGTTTACGGGTATAATGAAGACCGGCCTGAGTTTTTTGATTTGATTATTAAAAAAATGTCAGAGTATGAATGTGGGAATATCATTATAGGTGGAGACTTTAATGCTGTAAGGAATGTTACTTTTGACAAAAAGGGCGGTAAGCCTGGTACGAATTTCAGAGTGCAAGACAAAATCACAAATATCATGGATTCTTTTGAACTAATTGATGTCTGGAGAGAAAACAATCCTGGTGTTCAGCATTTTAGTTGGAAATCAAATCATTCCCCGCCGATTCTTTGTAGATTGGATTACTTTTTAATTTCTAAGCATCTTTGGGGCTTCACTGATTCAACAGACATTATTCCTGGTTATAAACCAGACCACTCTATGATTACTTTATGTCTCACCAGTGCTGAAAGCAAAAGGGGTAAGGGTTTTTGGAAATTGAATACTTCGTTATTGACAGAACAAGAGTATGTTTGTCAAATTAAAAATGCCATTAAGTATATGGTAGAAGTCAACATCTCAGCAAACCCTAACATTTTGTGGGAGGTTATTAAAAGTGAGATTAGTGGGGAAACAATCATGTATGCCTCCAGGAAGAAAAATGTTCAGAAGCTGGAAATTAACTTGCTTGAATCTGAAATTTTGCAGTTGGAGAAGGCTTACTTTGAGGCTCCTTCGGATGAGGTGTTGACTTCCCTCAAATTTAAGCAAAGGCAGTTGGAAACAATTTTTGAAAGTAATGCGAGGGGAGCCATTGTGAGACGTTGGACCGAGTTTGGTGAGAAAAATAGTAAGTATTTTTTTAATTTAGAAAAACGGAATTTTAAAAATAACTCTATTTCCAAGCTTGTATGTGAGAATGGTGATGTCATCACAGACCAGTCTGACATCTTGAAACAGGAGCTCAATTTCTATTCAAATTTATATAAGTCCGACTTCATAGAACAGTCCGAATTTGACGAGTTCCTTCTCAACAATCTAGAGAATAAATTAACTGAAGATGACCAGTTACTCTGTGATGGTTCTCTGGAAGAAAAAGAATGTCTTGCTGCTCTTAAAGAAATGACCAATAATAAGACGCCTGGTTGCGATGGCATCCCAGCTGAATTTTATAAAGTTTTTTGGTCTGATATTAAACATTACTTGATAGCATCTTTTAACTTTTCTTTCAATTGTGGGGAAATGTCTGCAGATCAGAGGAGAGGGATAATCAATTTAATTCCTAAACCAGGTAAAAATCCTACTGATTTGAAAAATTGGCATCCTATCTCTCTCCTAAACGTTGATTATAAAATCTGTGCCAAAGCACTTGCAAACAGGCTAAAATTAGTTCTCCCTAAAATTATCAATGAAGACCAAACCGGTTTTATGAAAAATCGTTATATTGGGGAGAATATTCGACTTGTGCTTGATACTGTTAAATTTACTTCTGAAAATGCTACTCCTGGTGTGCTTCTTTTCCTGGATTTCGAAAAAGCTTTCGATAGATTAGAATGGCTATTTGTAGAAAAAAGTCTCAAATATTTCAATTTTGGAAATGATTTTATAAAGTGGGTTTCTACTCTTTATTACAATATTTCTAGTTGCATTATTAATAATGGTCATGTCTCTAATTCATTTAATGTTACCAGAGGGGTCCGTCAAGGTTGTCCACTGAGCCCATATCTGTTTTTTATTGCAGCTGAATTGCTAGCAATTGGTATCAGACATTCTACTGATATTGTAGGTATTCAGACTGAAGATACAGAACTGAAAATTAGTGCCTATGCAGATGACACTACTATCGTTTTAGATTGGAGCAGAAAGTCCATTTTGTCTACTTTTAAAATTCTTGATAGTTTTGAGTTGGCGTCTGGCCTTAAAGTCAATTTTAATAAATCTAAGGCAATGAAACTTGGTCCATTGAGATTTGACAAAGATATCCAGCCGATTGGTCGGGGTCTCTCCTGGACTAATGGGCCTGTTAGATTCCTGGGTGTATTATTTACCCATGATGAGAAAAATTTGTTTCATTTAAACTTTGACGGCCAGTTGAAGAAAATTCAGACTATGTTAAATTTGTGGTCCAGGAGAGACCTGACTCCCATTGGCAAGATTACCATTGTTAAAAGCTTGGCCCTGTCTCAATTGACCTTTTTATTGACAGTGTTACCTAATCCTCCTCAGGAATTTATTTCGCAGGTTAACAAACTGATTTATAAATTCATCTGGAATGGGAAACCTGATCGAGTAAGCAGAAAAGTTGTAATCAATGACTTCAGACATGGTGGTTTGAAAATGCTCGATTTGGAGTCTTTCCAAAAAGGTCTTAAATGCACTTGGATCAAGAGACTTCTTGACAATTCGAATAAGGCAAAGTGGAAAACTTTTGTCAATGGTGTTTTCAGACAAACTGGAACTTATGACATTATTTGGAACTTAAATAT